AGAACAAAAGGGTTGGACTGTTTCCTTCAGCTCATTCACGTAGTACAAGAGGGAATCCGAAGTGGACGTAGTACCATTTGCCGTTGGAAGACAATCTTGCGCTTGTCCTGAACAATGTCAACACCGAGGGAGGCCGCCTTGGATTTGCCGATCAAATTGTGTCCATCAGCCATTTTACTCCCTTGCATTGGTTCGCAGACAGGGCGAATAGACTGATAGGCTGTCCGTGCTTTCTTTTCCAGTGGACGACTCCGTACGTCATTGGCCGCCTCGCTCATAATCTCGGCTCTGATGAGTGCCTTCTTGTGACTAGATGCAAGGCGCAGTCGATGATCGTATGTCTTGAACGTCTTGGCGTCGACCGGTTTCGAGGATGTTCGGGGCATGTCCTCATAGAATCCTTTGTGCCACATCGAATTGTTCCGCCACTGTTCGTCCTCGTTTTTCAGGTACTCTACCTCTTCGCTCGCGTCATTGTCAAGAATCTCCTGAAAACCACACGTGCTTCTCGGGCATCTCAGTCTCACCTGACCACTGCGAAGATTCACTCATGGCGTCTTCTGCATCACGGTCGTGATACACGGTCTCGGCCTCGGCTTCACTCTCCTCGGCGTGCTTGTCGCTCTTTTTGGCTTCCGAAGTCGCGGCTCTCTTGACAGTGATAGCGGGCATTGCGATGTGAACCTTCTCACAATTGCTGGAGCTTCTGCTGTGGGCTTGGCTTGCGCCTTTGCCTGTTGTTTGGCGTTAGGCGCTGGAGCGGATGCTTGGGGTTTGCTGGTTCTGCGCGTTTGTATTTGCATTTGTGCACTTTCCTTCTCTCCATGCGTAGCAGACCCGTGCCTCTTCGGTGAAGGAGTCCTTGGTGCTTTGCCGCCGCCTTTGCCCTTGCCTTTCTCATTGTCCATTTTGCGCTTGTGCTTGGGGTCGTGTGAATATGGACAATCCTTTAAGACGTCCTCCTTCCTTCGTGTAATGGAAAACACATGGCCATTCCTTTTTCGCTTCAGGGCTCATGCTTTTCCCTTTTCCTTTTCCTTTGCCCTTCTTGTCGTGGTCTTTCGCTTTTGCTTTGGGTAGCACTGGTGCTGCTGCGTTTCCATCATCTTCCTTCCCGGAACTCCCTCCTTTTCCCTTTCCCTTCTTCTTTTCTGCTGGTGCCGCATTCTTGTTGCTGCTCAGCAAGTTCTTGACTGGCTTCTCCTTCATGTCTTAGACGTAGTCCCCGCGATCAGTCCGAAGTTGTCGATCAATCAACTCCAAAAGAAAACGGTAGGTCTTCTCGGGGTGCGCATCCAGAAACCGCGCATAGGTGTTGAGACCAAATTCCAGCTTCCTGCTTGCTTTGATCTTGTGATATAGGATGTCCCGGAGCGTGATTTCTCTAGGTGTATCCTCCTTCCTCAGGTTGAGCAACATGTCATACCATTTGTTGCGGAGCACAGACATGTTCTTGTCCCCAGAAAATTCCAATCTGATCAAAAGCTCAATGATCAAAAACCATGTCTGATCGGTCACTTGATCTGAAAGATTGTAGTATGATAGCGATGATCTCTTCCCTTGATCAATCTGCTTTCTCTTTGGCGTCGTTCGGCGCGCAGCTGGATACCGTGTGCCACGTCCTTCGCATCATCAGGCGCGCTTCTGAGCATCGTCTGGAGCGATAGGGCCAGCCCCTGTGAATCCGTCAAGACAATTAGCGGGGGCAAAACAATTTTTACCGCGAAAGTTAATTCTTACCGTGGGCAGTTTTTTTTACGTTGCCGTTGCCGTTGCCGTTGCCGCGAAAAGTTATTTTTTAACGGGGAAATTGCCGTGGCTGTTGCCGTGGCTGTTTGCCAAGGTGCAGTAGTTTCGCAGAAATTACTTCCAAACTACTGCGAAATTATCTCCAGCGCAGTAGTTTCGCAGTAGTTAGTTCCAAACTACTGCCAAACTACTGCGGAATTAGCTCCAGTGCAGTAGTTTCGCAGTAACTACTTCCAAAATTGCCGTTGCCGTTGCCGTTTTTGTTGCCGCGTTTTTTTACCGTTGCCGTCGCCGTTGCCGTGAAAAGTTAATTTTGCAAGTCAATTAAGAAGTCACTGATTGCCGCGAAATGGGAATTGCCGTGAAAGTTAATTTTTACCGTGGGACTCTCTAATTGTCTTGACGGATTCGTTGGGGCTTGTGTCCATCATTGCGAATCGTTCGCCCCCCAAATCGGCTAAGATATCAAGGTCAGGATTTACCACGAAAGCACACGCCGACCATGACATCCATACTTCGATATCAGGATCTGCTGAAGCGCTGGTGACGTTCATGGCGAGTGCCATCTTCCAGCCGTCCAGCTTCGTGATCTTCGGCCATGGAGGTACGTTGACTTTCTCAGCCTCCTTCCGTGATATCCTTGGCCGATCATTGCTTTGACTTCTGCGATCCCTCGGCCTCCTTCTTCGTGATGATCTCCTGTTGCGACGACGGTCATCATCATCGTTATCGGATGGTTCTTCCTCGTCGTCCTCGTCTCCATCATCATCATGGTCAGGTGGATCAGGTGGATTTGGTCCTCCTGCTGCGGCTGGGACAGGAACATGTCCTAGACCTGGAACAGATCCTACTGCTTCATGGAGTTGGTCGATATGAGCCTGTATCATTGGATCTTGGTAAACAGGAAACAAAACAGAACCCGGTCCGAGACTGTAATCATATTGGCTTTGGAACATTGGGTACCTGTACATTAATTAGAACTGGAAGCTGCCACAGTAGCCTGATAGAGCATTACCTGACCTTCTTGTTGAGGCCCATTTGTGGTATCGCTCTTACTCGTCTTCGAATTATGGCGTTTACTGGTCCTAAATCCCTCAGTAGAGCTCGTCCACGATCATTGGAGTCCGCCGCAATGATGCTTTGGGTGGCGTTCTCACTTTCGAGCTCCTTGTTTGCCTCTGCCAGCTGATGCACAAAGCTCTCTTGGATCTTGAGCTCTCGCCGTGTCTCTTCAATCTCTTCGGCCATTGCAGCGATTTGATTGAGGTAGTCGGATTGCGCATCGCTGGCCTTTTGCCTTGACGCAGCGAGTTCGCGAGTCACGTCGTCGAACTCCCGACCCCTTAGCGTGGCGCGATCATGTAATGCATTTCCTTTATGAGCTCGATCTATTGTCCTCATTCATCTTTGCGTCGTTCCTGCGCTGCACGTTTCTCATCCCGTTCGCTCACGGAAACCCGTGCGCAATGGGCTTCTTGCTCGGCGTACCTGATGGCGTCATTTGCTTTTCTCACCAATGTACTTTGTGGCTCGTCATCAATCGCCATCGTTGGCTGTGGCAACAATGCTGTTTCCAATCTTTCACGTAAACCACGAATAGTGTTCTCCTCGTTCTGCGAGTCCGTAGTGATCTTCACCTGATAGGAGTTGATCATTGGCTGATGCTGCGCAACTTCAGAAGAAACGCTTCTCCTCTCTTGCTCAGCCATGTTCTTGCTACCAATGAGCTTTCCTCCTCGCATCTGATTCGATGTTCCAGTAGATCAACGGCTGCGACCATCCCTTGGTGTCGCTTCTCGTGCTTGAGGACTTTGTGTCGGGCTTCTTCTTGATAGTCCCCGTATATCCTCACAAGATGGTGTGCTTGATCTTCGGATAGTTTCGTCTTCCCACGTTCAGTGTCAATATGTTAAGCAGCTTCTCGAAGTTGTTCGTCGGATCTTTTGAGGATATGGGCTACTTGTTGTTCCGACATGCCAGCTCTCCGTTCCAGTTCCTGAATGCGCGTGACATTGCCATGGTCATCACGTTCATATGACTCCTGTAGCATTTCGAAAACTTCCTGTCGGATCGATAACGAAGCTGATGACGGTCTCTTCTTTTCTCCGTCCCTGGGCCACACAGCATGACCAACTTCTTTCCAGGATGAATGTGATTGGTCGTTGGTAATATCAGACCTTGCACTTTGTTCAGTGTCCGGAGAGTCCGCGATTGCCGGCACAGCAACATACCTGTGGAACCGCTGGAACTGTCATTTCCAAAGGTTGCAGTTCCTGAACTTCCGGAAGAATCCATTGTACGGCTGTAAATATGATTTCAAAAGGTTGTATTGTGCCGCAGTTGCAGTTCACCGCTGGGACCAATTGTAAGCTTACGGCTGATAACCTGCCAGGAGGCGAGTCAACCACGTAGTCAATGGCAAGGCAGTTGGATCGAATCCCGTGGGGTGACTACCCTCGACAATGGAGTCGTATAGTTGGGAACGTTGTAAATAGGGGTTGTAAGGATACTATGGCCTGCATTGTCTCACAACCAACTGCAACAGCGGAGCACGGTCCTTTTGCTTCTATGCAGCTTTCCGTTGGATATTTGTCTTGAACCACATATGAAGAACTTGAGCCAACGCATCCATATGCATGAGCCGGCTGTTCACGCAACAACATCCCCGCAAAGGTTCGAGGGACCTTAAAGGAGGGAAAGAGAACAGGGTGACCCTCAGAACCTGCCCTTAGGATTTTTGCCTGTGGCCCGGAGATTCTTAGCACCTCAAAACAGTTGGTTTCCGTTTGGTTTTGCATATACCCTTGAAAGAAAGACGGACCCAAGTGGAAAATCATGGGACCCACATGGTTTCCTGAAAGCCGCAGGTTGAAATATCTAGCAACGGGCTAGCACCTAGGACATCTATCGCAGACTAGTTGTTCAGAACAAAAAAAGCCCTTGTTTTGAAATATTCTATCTGTTTGGATGGATTGGTTGGATTATTCTAACTGTTCTGGTTGGATTTATTTTAACTGTTGATTTTCTACTTATTCTAATTGTATTTTTTTAGGCTGTGAAATGTGCGTTTTCATTTACTCAATAAATATTCTAGCTGCTAGCCCGTTAGTATATATCTCCGGCGGAACAAAACCAGACATGTCTGAGATAAAAGTAGGCCAGTCTGGGTTACTATCTTCTATTTCCACGCTATCCGACACTACTGGATAGTTACTTGGCCAAAACCCACGGCCCGCACGCAAGGCGCGGGCAGGTGCAGGAAGGCCACCGCGGTGCACGCTTGGGGAAAAAAGACCTGGCCGTCGAGAAGCAGAATTTGGTTGTGACTCGGGGAGCGGGGTTGTTGAGGCACTAGGTCGTTTAGAGGGAAGCCAAAGGAACTGACGTGCGTCTTTGCTTTGTAAAGGCCCGGCACAGTGGGTCTGAAGCCAACTGGCCACTGGTGTCAGGCAGACTTGGTTTCCCGGTATGATCCCAACAGGGTTACAACAAAACAAAGTTCCCCTCACGCTGAGAACGAAGTCCCTTTCAAACTTCATGGGAGGCTGCCAAAAGAACAAGCCAGTCACACAACAAGGTAAGGGTATTCATCTAGTTTCAAGTATGAGCGGCCTTCAAACATTGCTCAACATGCGTTTCTTCCCCCGCAGGGTTGCGTGTTCCTTTGATTCCCCAACCGAGCAATAGAAGCGCTTGCAAGTCATGTGAGACACACCACACGTGAAACCAAGCACCCTGCGATTCAACATCGGCCTCCCTCAAGACGTGTAGGCTCGAGGACCAGAAGCGAACTGCGTCATCCTGGCCTTGAGAGAGAATCTGACCAACAAGCTGTGTGGTGTGGAAAACATGGTTCTGTGCGGCTGGTCGTTAAACACATGCAACTTGACACTAGTGGAAAAATTGTTTTGCACAAAGTAAAGGTTGAACGCCGCGCCAAAACGCAACCAAGCCCGGTCTGCTTGGCACTTTAACCCTGATACCTCCACGCAAAAGGTGCCTATTTATACACAAATACGTATGTGAGGGTGTAGATTTGTTAAGAGTTCCAGCAGTGGGCACACTTAACATTCGCACGACCGTGTTGCCATCTTAGCGATGAACGTGGCGAAGCGCCTGGCGACGGTTGGCTCGCGCGCCTGCCATCTAGCCTGGGGGTTAAGCGCGTTTGCGCAGGGTTCTGAAGACTCCGCAGGTGGAACGCCAGCTGGGCCTGAGCAGTCTTCCGCGGGATTGGGCCTGTGTCGGTGGCATCTGATAGGGCTGAGCTGCAGCTGTTGTCCTCTATCAGCATTTGCTTGCTGCCTGCGGAAAAGTTCGCATACTGAAAGCAGTCCAGCGCGCAAACGCCACCAATCGAAAACCTTGCCGGTAGATTCATTTTTGTATATTATGAACATAAGCGCATGTTCTTGGAGCATAGCAAAAGCAGGGGTGTGATTTTCGCAGGAAGCTAGAGTACAAACTCCGGGGAACCCCGCGACGTCCTAACTTGGGTTGTGTCTGTTGAGGTCTGTGCCCACGGATACGAAAATCTCTGGCGGAAGGAGGAAGTCCACCTGAACATGTGCAGCGGCAGCCGATGCTGTCTGCTGGGTCAAGCTGATCAACGCAAATGCCAGCGTGTACAAAATTTGGGGTGGCGACAGGCCCACAATGCGCAGCTCCAGAAGCTTTGCCAGCTATGGTCTGCAAGTGTCTCATCAGGGTTTAACAGAACAGCAAACATGCGCAAAATCGGTTTCTCCATGCGCCATGGCGCACGAGTCTGTTTCTCTACCTAGAACTCGAAAACATGGATAGGCCCGGAAACATGTTTCCCGCCCAAACATGGCGCCTCGCAAATGAATCTAGTTTCCTGGACCCAACTAAACAATCCGCGCGATGCGCCTGCAGCACAGGCCCGCCGTGCGAGCTCTGGGAGGAGATTACCTGGTTGCAAGGCGGGGTGTCGACAGGGGGCTTTTTAGGCGCGGCAACTTCCAGGATTACAAGGGCCGCGCCTTTCATTATTTGGTTTCCATTTTTGGTTGATCTTGAGTTGAGTTTTCGCGTCGGTCCGCCTCAGCTTCCAGGCCTTGAGCTGGCAGCAGCACCTGGGATCTCCAAATCTCGTGCGCAGCAGCTAGTCTTAAGAGGAATCTGGTTGCCTTCCTTCTTTGCGTGTACACCATGCTCCACCCCAAGATATATAAGGTTTATACAGGTTGCATGACAGCTCAAAAGAAAAAGTGGAAAACATATTCCACACATTGGGGCTTTTGATTGAAACAGAAGACTCACCATAAACCCAAAAGGAAAAGAGCTGCCTATATGTACAAGTCGCTTTGGCTCACACCAATTGTGCAAAATGGCACACACAGTGTATATATAATACATGCATTCCAACCCAGTATTTTATGGCATGCTCCGCGCGATCACTCACTCTTCGCGCAAGAGGCATCTATCACCCAGCCACCGCGGCTCAAACACGATTGTCCGGGAAGGCGCTCGTTCCACGTCTTGCGAAACCTTAGCAGGCAGGAATGCGCACAAAAGAAAAGGTTCATGCCACGCGCGCCTTCCCAGTGATCGCTGCCATGTGAGGGCATGTGTGAACACAAACTGAAACAACGCAAGATTTGGCGCTACAAAGTTGCCCCAAAACATGCCACGGGGCCTTCAGCGTCGGAGCTTGGACGCCAAAGCCATTATTGTAGCCCCTCAGCTCAACCCAGTCCAGGGTCCTCCACGCTCTTCATCGAGGACTTCATGGCCTTCATCGCCTTCGTCTTCATCCCTTTCATTGATTGGGCCGCTTTCATGGACTTCGTGGCCTTCATCGCCTTCAACTTCATGACTTTTGTCGATTGGGCCACCTTCGCGGCCTTCATCAAGCGGGCAGCCTTCATGGCCTTCATCACCTTCATGACTTTCGGCGCCATTGGTATCGAAAATGCTAGACGCAACTATACTTCGCGGTTGCAAGATTGCAACACGAGCTGGGCCGAGGTAAGATATATATGTGTGCAAAACAACAGGCGCCGCCCACAGTTTGCTGAAACTGCGAAAAAGTACAAACAGCCACAAAGCCACATATGATGCGCGTAAAAGTGTACAACTTATGTTTTCCATTGCATCTTTCCTTTTCGCACACTGCTCGCATGAGGCCCCACGTGTGTTTCGCAATTGCCCGCTCGAAGCACCCCGTCGTCTTGTTGCCAGCTTGGCGCAAAAAGCTCTGCATGGAGCTTCGGGTTGTGGGCCCTCCATCAGGCGGCTCCCTCCATAGCATGACATACTCGATCGAATGGGCAATCTCAGCCACCTCGTTGGAGACCGGCTTCCTCGCATTTGCACTCTTCCAAAATGCGATTGATGCTAGCAGTCTAACAGCAGTACCTCACAAGTACAAACACATCCCAGAAGCCACTCCTTCGTTTCAAACTGTAAGAAAAGCGTCAGCTCCGCGTACAACGGATCACCACTCTGGACCCTGGAAGCGGCCCTGGCCACATCGCGCTGTAGACCTGCCACGCTGGCCTTGCAGGCGGTGAGCTTTGACATGATGGAATCCCACTCCTTTGGCGAGAGCTCAGTCTCAACGTCAGACAACGCCAGCCTGCGCATCGGGGATGGGGCAATGCACAAAAAGCGGAGGCGCGTTATGCCACCACAAACCCATTGTATGAACAGGAAAAAACAGCTGCAACCAACAAGTAATCGTGACCCAAGATATTTGCCAGGTTGTTTTGGAAAACGACCACTATTTTGGCCAGGGAGCACTGACGGCGGGACCATATCCGAACCAACTCCGGGATCCGGCAGTCGTCTACCCTCCGCAAACTCTTCACGCTCAATCTGAGCCGCAGCGTAGTACTCTTTGCCGCCCTCCTGAAGCTTCACCACCTCGCCCGAAACCACCATGGCCTGCAGGGTTGCATCATCCTTGATCTGCCACTTGGACATGAACAAGTTCTTGCCGATGCCCTTCTCCTTCTCCGCCTTCGAGTCTAGGGTCTCCAGCCGCTTTTGCGTGCTGAAGGTCAACTTCTCCGGCCGAAGCTTCAGCGCCCCACCTTCTTTCACAAAGAGGGTGTTGATCAGCTTGGTCTTGTCATCGCGGGAGCCACAGGACTGACACTCCGCCAGCACCGCAGCAGGCAAGGCAAGCTCTCCTCGGCCAGCATCTTCTTGAACTTCTGCGCCTTCGACCGGTCACGGCCAGCCTCACCCCCATCCTCAGCCTCTGCGTCGCCTGCATCTTCTTCGGGAGCTCGCGCTACCTGGTCGCCCAAGTCAAACAAGTCCTGGAGGAGCTTCGGCTGCGCTGGATCAGCCTTCTTTTTGTTCTCTGTGGACTTTCCCTTGGCCTTGGGCTTGGCCTTCGCCACTGGCTTCTTAATGAGCTCCACGCTGGCATCATCTCTGGCATCAGTGCCATCTTGCGAGCTTTCGACTTCACTGCAGCTGCAGGTCGCTTCAACACCGGACTCTTCTTTGCGGCCGGTTGCTCTGGTGGATCAGGCTGACTCGCAGGAATCTCACCCTCAAGCATCTCTGTCAGCGTGTCGTCTTCCACAGGCGTTGCCATCCAAACGACCTATATAGTTCACTGTGCACAGGCGCTGTATACCTACCGTACGTAAGTGTAAGGCTCAAAAGGCGACGGGCAACATTTGCGAGAGTGCAACGTACAACCAGGAGAAGCAAGTACAACCAGAAAAGGCTGAGCGAGCTCAGAAGCCAATGCAGAAATATTAATTTGAAACAGCTTGGGCTTGGGCTTTGAGCTTGCTCGGCCTTTCCACCGCTTGTGTCCCACGCGGTCATGTATACTCCAAGCATGGCCAGGCAAGTACAACACAAGTCATGCGCTCCAAGCGTGGCCAGGCAAGTACAACACAAGTCATGTACTCCAAGCGTGGCCAGGCAAGTGCAATACAAGTTTGCACTGGGTAGGGGCATGTACACTTGCGACCACCAAGAGTTGTTGCCACCAAGAGTTGTTTGCAGCGGCAGCGCCTTAGCCAACCTTGTCGCCGGGGTGGCTGACCCAGGGATCACAACCTGTCCGGCAACGCACACATGACATGCGGCGCAGATAGCCCAGGCTGACGCCTGGACGGGCTGTGCGGGCGCGCTTGACGGGTACGCCTGGCCAGTGAAGAAGCCTGAACGGAGTCAAGTCTAATGAAAATACAACTGCAAAGAGTCTTCAGTTGTACACTCGTGCAATTGTACATTGTACACTTGTATTGTACACAGCTGTGCACATGTCACGCTATGCCTCTGAATCCTCAGCATTCTCATCTTCCTCAGAGTTCTCAGCGTTCATGAGGGTCCTGAGCGCCTCACAAAAGTGTGTACCAGCCGGCGGAAACGTGCGTACATATCGTACACTCACAATGTGAAGCACAGATAGATGTACAAGCAAAGAAGTGTGGTATACATTGTACATGCAAAAGGGCAACGCCTTGCGTACAATCCAAGCACACCTCTTATACGTTCACACGACTCCCAAGCCCAGCCTTCGAGGAACGCGGGGTTCCGAAGGCATCGAATTTCCTCCGCTTCTCAGGGGGTGGCCTGGAAGAACTGGCAGCAGGAACTCCGGAACCAGCAGGAACTCCAGCGCCCTCGCCAGCAGGAACTCCGCCGCCTAGCCGCTCCGCGCGTTCCTGAACGGCCAGACCCCGTTGCCAGCAATAGTACGCACGGTACTCGTTGTCCGGCAAGAGGAACTGATACTTATTTTGGTCGCGCTCCCGCAAAGTTCGCTCCTCAAACCCAGGTCCGCTGAAAGCAGCTAGACGCGCCATGCTTTGAATCACACCCACCAGGTCTGCCGGCGACGGGCTGACGGGGCCGGCCATTTTCGGCGGTGTGATTGGGCTCACAGCGTGTGACACCACCGGCGCAACAGCTTGGATTTTCATCTGGGCCGATGGCCGTGGAGCAGGTGCCGGGGGTGGTGGCTGCCGTGGTGGCTGTGGCTGCAGTGGTGGCAGTGGTGGTGGTGGCAGTGGTGGCTGCGGTAGTGGTGGTTGTTGTGTCTGCAGTTGCGGTGGCTGTGGTGGAAAGGATGGTAGTGGGGGAGGGGGTGGTGGTGCTGGTGCTGGCGTCGTTGGTGCCGTTGCTGCCGCTGGCGGCCGAGCCCGCTCTGCATGGTGGTCCGCCCGCCGCCCGAAACGCCTTCAGCGCCTCCGTCATATCCGCATCGCTGTCGTAGAAGAGGAAGGCACTTGTCTGCGGCTGGCACGCGCTCCTGCGCATTGTACTGCTGCGCCCTCGCCAGCACATCCTTGGTAGCGGCGCAAGTTCGTGCACGTGTGTGTACAGTTAGTTCATGAGGGTTCGCAGTTTCAAGGCGCATGCTTGTACAAGTCAAGGCGAGGCGCTGCTTTGGTGACATTCCCCGGCCAATCAGCTGTGTACAAGCGGCTCTCCATGGCGCACACCAGGTACCAAGTTGTCAAATGCAAGTACACCTCTTGAACAGTGTGCAACACAGATGCAGGCTGCGTAGGGGCGTAGTGGAATGCTCCTTGTGCAGTGCCGATGCAGCTTTGTACATCATACCCACCTCGGTTGTATCACATGTGCATGTGTGTGTGTGTCCTTTCACGCATCCCTCATCGGAGGTTCCTTGTTTTTGCAAGAGCCAAAATGGAGCCGCCAGAAAATAAATATTGTTCATGCTGCATGCGAAACCTGCAAAACCTCCTCCTTTGGACATGTACAAGCGCATGCGCTGTGTGGAACTCGTTTCCGCTATGGTTCAAATCCAACCACGGTGTATTTGTGAGTGGCAGTTCTAGCTCGACAAACTGGCAAGCTCAATTCAATCACAATGTGCATGTTACACAAAAGGGCGCCAGTTTGGAGTCAGTCACATGACACTTGCCGGCAAGGACAACATCACACACCACAGGTCAAAGTCCACAAAGCCCAACACACGCGACATGTGCATGGTACAAGCAGCACAAGTACATGTAAGTCAGTATACAAGCATCAACTGCAGCTGGTTCATCGCACAAGCTGCTGATTCAAGGATGCCACATGCTATCAGTCTACACCCTCCAGCTTCTCAGTATCCAACTCCGCTGCCGCCTCC